ACACTAATCATAATACTCTTTGTTTACTAGAAACTAACCAAGAAAACAGTTCAAATCAGAAAAATGATGATACTGAAAAGGAGTAACATAACAAAGCAACAAAAAGTATAGTTATTTATCTTTAATCAACTCAAAAGTCAACATAGAAGATCAACAAAATGAACTAATATTAAGAATTCATATATTACTATCAAAGAAACTAAATAACCCATCAGTAAGCTCTCCAAGCAAGAACACTCAACCTGTACATATTTACCCCTCCAAAAATTACTTTGCGTAACAATATAGGTGGAGGAGGTTAGGCGGTTGTCGAGTCCGATGGGAAGGTTTGGACAGACGGTGATGGTTGAGCCTTTAGTAGGATGGGAGCCCGAGACACTATTTATCTTTAATCAACTCAAAAGTCAACCTAGAAGATCAACCAAATGAACTGATGTTAAGAGATTACACATTATTGTCAAACAAACTAAATAACCCACCAGTCAGCTCTAAAAGCAAGAACACTCAATCTATTCATATTTACACATCCGAAAATTGCTTTGCCTAACAATATAAGCGGAGGAGGTTAGGCCGTTGTCGAGTCCGGTGGGAAGGTTTGGAGAGACGACAATGGTTGAGCATTTAGTACGTAGGTCAGAACACCATTTAGACTTATTTACATTAGTTGCGGCTTTTCAATCCGCATTCGACAAATTAACATCACTCAACCTTTCCATATTTACTCCCCTCTTAAAAACATATGTGTCACATATTCACTCTAAACTTCTATGTTCAAAAATATTGTTGATTTATGATACTTATATTATTTAAGCTATGTCAAGAATTCTGCATCGCTTCTACACATTCAATACTGCAATTCGATGTGCAACATTTGCACCAATAACATTAGGCTTGCAATTATAAAATTATTCTCCTTTTATAAAATAAATATAAATAGAATTAATTATTAAACTCGAATTAAAATAATAAAAGTATGAAAATAGAAGTATCAAATACCAAAAAAAATATTTAGGGGAGAGTTAGTGGCTTAGCTAATTGTGATGGAAAATTCCAATGATTTTTCAGATTTAAGCTTCCTGTATATTTTTAATTTAAAATTTTTAAACAAATTTGTTTAGTGTAACTTATTATGTTTCTTGTCTTTCTCAAAGAGATCACAATTCAAATCCCATCACTTATGTATTTTTCCTATAAATAAAAAAAATAATAAATGACTGTGAAGATGAATCTACCCTTTCTACTTTTGCTATGGATGAAAGGATTTTGTAATGGGGGAAGCACCTTTCCCATTTCACTCTTATATTAGGTGTAGTGAAAGTAACCCGGTGGTTGAGTGTTTAGCTAGTCGGACACTATTTGGGCCCGTTTACATTAGTAGCACATTTTCCATTTGCGTTGGGCAAACCAACAACACTCAATCTTTCCTTATTTATCCCTCCAAAAATTGCTTTGGCTTAGTAATAGAGGTAGAGGAGGTTAGCCGGTTGTTGAGTCTGATGAGAAGTTTGGAGAGACGACGACGGTTGAGCGTTTAGTGTGTCGGGACGCTATTTGGGTTCATTTACATTAATAGTATTTTTTCCATCCATGTTTGGCAAACCAACATCACTCAACATTTCCATATTTACCCCTCTCTTAAAGACACATGTGCCCCATATTCACTCAAAAGTTATGTGTTTAAAAATATTCTTACTTTATGATAGTTATAACAATTAAGTCTATGTTAAGAATTCTACATCGCTTCTACAAATTCAAGAGTGCAATTCGATATGCAATGCTTGAATCAATGACATTTCGGTTGCTAACCTTGGTGGAAAAGTCCTATATTTCTTAGATTTAAGCTTCTTGTATGTTTTTAATTGAAAAATATCACACAAATGTGTTTATTGTAACTAGTTATGTTTCTTATTTTTGTTCGAAGAGACCACGGTTCAAATTTCGTTACTGATGTATTTTTCTGTAAATAAGAAAATAATAAATGATTGTGCAGACGAATCTATCCATCCTACTTTCACTCTGGATGCAGGAAATTTGAAATGGACTTCAAGTTTTCTCATTTGGCTTTTATTTATTATGTAGATTTATGGTATTATGTGTAAGAAAGTAGTTCATATTCATGGGTTTTTTCTAACAACTCGAGTTACTGAGATTAGTTGGTTTATGGTATAGTATTAAAGCCGGTATATTATTCACGAAGTCTAATATTATGCGGTGCCCTAAAGCACTTGGAATATGACGGGTTCGTGCAAACTTCAACCCCATGAGTTGACTTTTGCTAGAGCGGACCTATAAGAAAGTTGTTGAGATACATATATATGGACTTCTCCCAACATCTCGAGTTATGGAGATTAGTTGATTTATGACATTATATATATCGCTCGATCTCATTTAATTTAAGCATCAATCAGGGCCGATCTTTTAAACTCCAAATTTCTAACAAAAAATCAAAAGAACTTATTAAAATTAAAATAAACTTGGAAAATATAACAAAATGTTCCAACTCCAACACAACATAATGTTTATGGCGTGCGAGTCATCCATCCAACAAACATTATAGTGAAGATCTATCCATTTGTAATGCAGCCCGTCACAAAAGACATACTACAACAAAGGGATCTAGCCAGAAAATTACCCCCTCCTTACCTTATCATCTTTCTCAGCCATGTGGCTCTTCTCATTAATGAACTTTGTTAATTTATCACGCTTGATAGATCAGCGGTTAGTTTTCAATGCACCTTCCTCTAATTTTCTCCAACTTATTTCCTAATCTCATCTGAAGTATAAATTAGAGAAGTAAAAATTAAAAAGAATTGTCTAAGCCCAGGTTCGAACTGGGGACATTGGAGAAGTAAAAATTTAAAAGGATTGTCTAAGCCCATGTTTGAACTAAAGGTCAACATAATGTTTATGGCGTGCGAGTCATCCATCCAACAAACATTATAGTGAAGATCTATCCACTTGTAATGCAGCCCGTCACAAAAGACATACTCCAACAAAGGGATCTAGCCAGAATATTACCCCCTGTGGCTCTTCTCATTAACGAACTCTGTTAATTTATCACGCTTGATAGATCAGCGGTTAGTTTTCAATGCACCTTCCTCTAATTTTCTCCAGCTTTGATCCTAATCCCATCTGAAGTATACATTGGAGAAGTAAAAATTTAAAAGGATTGTCTAAGCCCAGGTTTGAACTAAAGGTCAACATAATGTTTATGGCGTGCGAGTCATCCATCCAACAAACATTATAGTGAAGATCTATCCACTTGTAATGCAGCCCGTCACAAAAGACATACTCCAACAAAGGGATCTAGCCAGAATATTACCCCCTGTGGCTCTTCTCATTAACGAACTCTGGTTAATTTATCACGCTTGATAGATCAGCGGTTAGTTTTCAATGCACCTTCCTCTAATTTTCTCCAGCTTTGATCCTAATCCCATCTGAAGTATACATTGGAGAAGTAAAAATTAAAAAGAATTGTCTAAGCCCAAGTTTGAACTGGGGACCTTTAGTGTGTGAGACTAACGTGATAACCAACTACACCACCCAGACATTAATAACTTGAATTGTAGTTTTCAAATAAATATAGTCACATTGTAAGACCTTGTTACAATGGTCCTTCTTCGTTCTAATGTTAAGATCATCGTGACATCTTTCTTGTTACACTTTATCATGATAAGCATAAGTTTCTTTAATGATAGAATTTTATCATTGTCGACATATTTTTTGTTATGTTCTTAAACCAACATCATGATCAGCATTATTTTGTGTTAATGTGAAAACAGCATCATTATCTACATCCTGACTTTAGGAAAATGTTAGATAGAGGCAATTGTCTTACTCCATAGTTAGAAGGTCATCAATTTGAAATGGAATTGTTCATATTTGTTGGGATTAGATCTGGTGACAACCCCTAAAGGACTGCCAATTTCACAACCCCGTCTGATAGCGCTACCACTCCAGAAGTGAGGCAGAAGTCAGTTTATAATGCTTGATTGATGCTTCTTCTCCCTGGTAATTAAAAGTTATCATGAAGTTGGTTTTTGTGTGTGTCTTATAGTTCGGTGAATGCTGATATGGTGGTGGTGGTGGTGACAGCAGCAGAAGCACCTGGGTGTTGCTTCTGCGCAGCCACACTGCTACATGGAAAACCTGTCTTGAGAGAGAATTTCAACGATAAATTGGAATCTCACGTTCATCGCTTAACAAGCAAATGTTTTGATTGCAGCTAAATAACTCTCTCTGTACACTTGAGAAAAATCTTAAAAACGAATCAAGCAGCAGCAGTAATGACTGCACTGCAACTTCCAAACACTGACCACACCACTTTTCATCCTCTGTGCAAATCGCTCCGACTTCTTTCTGCATGTGAATGTAAATCTTGCTCACTCTTTTACAAATCGATTGCAGGTCGTATAACCCAACAGTACAGTTGCTCCACAGATAGAACAAGATCGGCTTTCCTTCTAATTCTGAATCATTCATCCCACCAACACCAGGCGCAGCACTTCCTTCGTGCACAAGCCTCTCTCAACTTCAGCGCAACCCCAGAACTTGAACCTTCTTCTTATCCAGAGAGCAAGACACCACAAACGCATCCCAGCAAGTTACGGCTTCATCGTGTGCCTTGAGTGTTTGACTGCACTCCTGGTTACTCCAATCCCACACCTGGATCGTCCCGCCATCGAGGAAGAAAACAATCTTCTCAGGCAAGTAACAGCACTTCCTTGGTCCCCCAAGGAAGCAGCAGGCTGATGAAATTGAGGAATGGCTTGCTGATCAAGAAAGTCCTTTCCAAACCAAAATCGTGCCATCTTCAGCTCCATTCTACAAGGCATCCAACCCAACTTCAAACAAACATCCATTCTTCATTGCTAATCAAACATGAACATTCAGTCTTGAGGTCACTAACATTCAATGATTCACAGACCCTGCTGCAAGCAACCGAGTATGGCAATCCCAAGCATAGAACAAAGTGGAGTGAAAATCAGAATAAAGAAGGGGTCATCCCAACAGATTTACTAACTAAAGGTTTTTTTATCAGATGATTCAAACGTATATACGGATAACGAGGGAGGTGTTGTATAAACATCATATAACTAGAAACTAAATACAGTATCTTTTCCAACCAAGTTACTGTTAAGTCCTAGCAAAGGCCAACTTAAACAGATATCCAGATGCATGGAGATTCAAGTTCTAACTACTCACTCACATATAACACTTAAAAGAGTAATTGTTCACAGAGACATGCTGCAACATCAGATAAACAGACATCCACATCTGACAGAGACTTTCAGCTTCTAGATTTATGGCCTTGGCAAGGGACCTAGAAAATCGCCCTCCAAGCTAGCCAACGCCTGAAACTCCCTGTCGGCCTCCAGCCACTTGGTCCCCATCACCATGAACCTCACCATATCATCTTTCCCGACCGGGGGACTCTTCTCGTTGATGAACTCCGGGTTTTCTCCAGGCACATACCGGTAGCCCGGCATTTTGGTGCACGAGAGGTAGATGTGCTCCATCGGCCCACATCGCAAGAAGACGCCATGCTTGAACACCTTGTGGACCTGGCCTTCCAGCACCTCTCCCCGGAAGATGTTGAAGGTGATGGCACTGAACACAACAGGGAACATCACCTCCCCTGTGTGTTGCCTCACTTTTCCGTCCCCTATGCTCTCCAGGGTAGTCACTGCAATGTGGTAGCCGAGGTCCTTGTGGGCTCGCCGGCTAGCAAACTCTTCCAGAACCTTTAATAGGATAGCCCTCTGAAGCAGCAGTCCCTTGATATCAAGGTTTTCTGGAGCTATGATAACATTCCATGGCAACTTCACCTTGAGATACATATTTCTCAACCTGTTGCAGATAAAAAACCAACAACCATTGTCCATTAAAGTCATATAATAGAGACAGAAGTAGAAGATCATATCTCCTAGAAGCATGATTCCAAATCCGAGGGAATTCAATTTGTAAGCATCGGACTGTGAGAAACTGACCTAAATTCAAAACCATAGGAGTATTTTTCATGCACATTAATCAGCTAAAAACTGAGGCAGAGTTTCCACAGAAAGAATTGAGGGATAATAGAGTTTTAGTTCTCAATTCATTCTTGCTAATAATACCCTGCAACAAACCGACTAACAAGAAGAGCACACAAAAGCAACTGAAAAAACCAAACTTGCTGAAACATCGCTTTCTGAATGCAGCTCTCAGAAAACCCATATTTGGAACACAACAGAACCATTTTCACACGCCAGTGGGCAAAATGGATCATGGCAAGCCCTAGAGCTGGGGGATAACATCACTGATCACACTACAAGAGAACTAAAGTAAACAGAGTGAACAGAAAAAATTCCATCCCCATCAGAGCTTTAAGTATGAAGAAACCGACGAGGAAAGCAAGAACCCCTCTCGACTCTCGCACAGCCGTACTCAGCTCATGAAAACTCAATACAGAATAAATGCCTGTTCATGAGACAGCATTGATACTGTTGGGATATGGAAATGGAAGAGAAGGCAAACCTGAAGTTCTGAAATGCTAAGCTCCGTCGTCTCTCCTACACACCGTCTGTGCGACGCCTCTCCGCCGTTACTCCGTCGCCGAGAGCTGAGCTACCTAACAGTGTGCTGCGCTCTCTCTCTCTCTCTCAGCTGTCTTCTCATTTCTCGGTCTCAAGCTGATTGGTTAAGGAAGGGAGAGGCCCAATTGAGGTCCAAACACGGCTGAGCCTAAGAGTCAGATTCAGAAATCAGGCCTTCGTCTAAATAATTTGGGCCAACTGGAGGCCCAATTCAGGTCCAAACGCGGCCTGAGACTGATAGAAATTAGAACGCCGGAACGGCCGCCTCGACGTCCGTCTCCGTCGCCAGTTTCAGCGCCGCTCCATCCCAACCACCTACCGTCGTTCGTTCTGTGAGGAAAAACTAGAAGCCATTGCTATGGAAAAAGAAACCAAATTGAACTCCAGTTCATCACAAGAGAAGCCGCAGAAACTCGCGGTTTCGCTGCCCAACAACGTCGACAAGAAAGGGAAGAAGAAGCCATTGATGACCATTGAAGGGTACCCTGTTGAGGGATTGTCGATTGCTGGCCTCGAAACCTGCATAATCTTCCCTTCACTTGATTTGGCTTTCGATATTGGTCGGTGCCCGCAACGAGCAGTCTCTCAGAACTTCGTCTTCATCTCCCATGCTCACATGGATCACATAGTCAGTTCCGAATTTCCTTCTCCTTCCCCACAAATTTTCTTTGTGCTTTCACATTGTTGTACTGAACATCAATGGTGGTGAACTTGGATGCTGAATTTGTTACAGATTGTACCTAGTGAACAATTGGCTTGCGTGCTGTCTACTTTTGAGACATGGGTTTTCTTTCTTATGTTCAGGGAGGGTTGCCCATGTATGTTGCCACCCGTGGCTTAAACCGCATGAAGCCTCCAACGATCATTGTGCCAACGAGCATCAAGCCAACCGTTGAACAACTTTTTGAGGTGCATCGGCAGTTAGATGGATCAGAGCTGCGGCATGTTCTTATTGGTTTGGATATAGGTAATGGATCATCACCGAACTGTTATGTTCTGAAACTTCCTCCTGAATAACGTCTTGAGAACTGTTACTTGCAGGGGAAGAGATTTCCATTAGAAGGGACCTTAAAGTAAAAGCATTTAAGACACACCATACAATAAAGAGCCAGGTATCATCGAAGTCATTTGATTGTGAGTGAAGATTTTTTTCTGTCTCAGCTGATTGGTTAGCAATTTGCTTGCTTTTCAGGGTTATGTTGTTTACCAAGTGAAAGAAAAACTTAAGCAAGAGTATCATGGGCTATCCATCAGAGAAATGAAAAACTTGAAATTATCAGGTGTGAAGGTATGCCTAAGAATGAAAAGTAACTTTGATTCACGAAATATGTGTGAGACTCTGAAAAAATCTTGGAATCCTTGTAACCTGTAAGTATGGGAATAATCTTCTGGTCTCAACTCTCAAGCATAAACTATCATCTATCTCTTTTTGATGATGGTCATAATGTCGATGTGCGATAGCTAAAAACAGACATTCCAGAAGATATTTGCAAACCCCATATTTTCGAGTCTGACTTACCTGATCAATCCCATCAACGTGTGCTGAACTCCTAAACATTCCTTTGGCAAACTTAGAATCCCATTTCTTTACTTTCTAAATCTAATTCGAATTGGCATGTTCCTCATACTCAAGATTGGGCCCGTTTATTTACAGATAACAGATACTATAAGTCACCCCGAAATTGCTTTTACTGGTGATACAATGTCTGACTTCATACTGGACGAAAGTAACAGTGACGTTCTGAAGGCAACAGTTCTTGTTATGGAGGTAAGCTGCTAGCTAGCTCTCATTATCCTGATTGTTCATACAGTAGTTGGTTGTCATCTCGGGAGCATGGAAAGGGATCATATTTTGCGAGTTAGTTAAAATAGTTGGTTATCATGGAAACATTCTGAAGAGTAATATTATGATTACCGATGAACAGTCTATTCTAATGTATCAGAAAAACTTTTCCTTTGAAGTATTCACATGAATCTTGTTCATAGTACTGGTAGAAGGGCTGACAATAAAATCCATACACAACAGTGCACTTTTGTTGAGGACAGGGTAACAGTGGAGCATGCCCGAGAATATGGTCACACCCATCTGTATGAGGTATTCTTTGATTCTTCTGTAATATAACGCCATTGGAATTTTACTACTTATGAATCTTGTTCTGTTCAGATTATTAAGCATGCAGACAAATTTCAGAACAAGGCAATCCTTATGATCCATTTTTCAGCTCGTTACACAGTAGAGGTAAGTTTGAAGTTCTAGTTTTTGGGACATAATATGCAGATGTGTGTTGGATAATGAAACTGATAGTTTTGAATTCATTCACCAGGAAATACAAGAAGCCATGTCAAAACTTGAGGCACCTTTGGCTGGCCGAGTTCATATACTCACAGAAGGTTTTTGACAAGACAGGCTGAGAGAGAGGCTTTCACAAGTTTGACCTCTTCACTATCTCGCCTATGATAAGAGACGACCAATCTGGGACCAATGAGCTTCCGAAGTTGTCATGTTTTGTACAGTTTATGTAAACTGGTGGAGGCTCAAGAGATTCAGCTTGGACGTTTGCTCTTTCATCGAATGCAAGCAACCATGGTGTAGTAGGCAGTAGCATTGAAATGAATCAAATTTTGTCCGGAGTTCTTGAGCTGGTGTCATCAAGTGGAACTCTGGTCAATTGGAAGATGCATTCTGTGGGCGATCATATCTCATCTCCTCCAGAAAGGGTGTTTAGTTGAAACTGAAAGCCTTACCCTTGTGTTCATATAATGCTAATCTGGGTTTGCTCCCACCACCTAGCTTGTTGGTGTTCCTTCCCCATCTGTGTAGCCCGACAGATGTACATTGTTCATGGGAAACCTCTTTTTTTTCTTCTTCTGGAATGAGGATGTTGCAAGGTTTGAGTGGTCCATTTTCAGTGTAGTTTCCTCTCTTTTTTGCAGTTTATGTCCCAACTTCGATTGAAGTGTTAGATACAATATCGCATGACACTTCAATCGAAGTTATACAATATCACTTGAGTTATTCAGAAACAAAAAATTCAACATCGCTTGAGATACACTATTGCAGTTGGAGAGAACACAACCAAATAAGCCCCAGTAACATCAAAGGGGCCTGCCGCCTGCACTCAACATAGTAAGCGAAAAGCAATACTTATGGCTAAAACATGAGAAGGAAACAGAATACAGATAGAATTACTTGGGGATACCAATGACGTGCCAAAAACCAGGTACGCTGAAGAAATGAAAAGAAATACCTATGGCTAAAACATGAGAAGGAAGTGCCAGAAACCAGGGACATATACAAGGCTGGAAAAAAATTTAAAAAAAAGGAAAAAGTCAAATGTCTGAGCCCAGGTTCGAACTGGGGACCTTTAGTGTGTGAGACTAACGTGATAACCAACTACACCACCCAGACATTGATGTTAGTTAGTATAACAGTTATTATTATGTAAAATGTCACCTTGAAAATTGTTGATAAAGATTTAGATTTGTTTAGCGCTTAGTTAGAATTTATAACTTGGAACATATATAGAGGTTCTGCTCTCATCAATTTTTTTTTTTTTTTGAAAAGGTAATCTGTATTCCAATGAATCATGCTCTCATCAATCTCAAATGGCATAGTTCAGACTTTCTTCTCAGTTACGGTTGATTGCTCATGAAATGAAGCCTAGCGAGTTGGGAACAAAATAAAGAACTAGTAAACAAAGAAGGATGAGTAATATTTGTTAGTTTGATAGAGATTTCTTATTTATAAAAACCGTTGATGATGTCGATCACATTGTCTATTAGGTCGATATAAGGATAGTCAAGTCGATGACGATCACAAAGTTCGATTAAGTTTGCCACTACTAAAAAAGATTGATGTATCTTTAGGGCTGAAAATTTGCATGTCCCGTCCCTGTCCTGTCCCTGTCTGACCCGTCCCTGAAGGGTCAAGATGTATAACCGTCCCGTCCCGTCCCTGTCTCCTTCTTGACCCTGTCTGACCCTCAAGGGTTGGGACGGGACGGGACGGGTCGGGTCAGTGGGTCGACCCTAATCAACACACTACTTTTTTATAAATTACGTTTTGGTACCCAAAATTATTTTTTCTTACAATTTAGTATCTAAATTTTATTTTTTTTACAAATAAGTCCATAAATTTTGATGGTAAAATTACGTTTTGGTACCCAAATTTTTTTATTTTTACAAATTAGTACCTAAACTTTAAAAACTTTACAAAAAGGTCCAATGAAGTATGAGATATTTGTTGCTGCTAAGGATCACAATGTCAAAACGTGACCCGTCCCTAAGTTGTCCCGACCCGTCCCGACCCTTGCAGGGTCAACAAATGACCCGTCCCTAATCTGTCCCTGTAGTCTGTAGACAAACTGACCCGTCCCAACCCTTAGGCACGGGACGGATCAGTGGGTCTTCCGAGACAAGCTTTCACCCCTACCTGCTATCTTTGATTACCAAATGACTTCAAATGAAAAATTCCTTTGTGCTCAAACACTATTATACTTGGATTGTTATACACTATGTTTGGCAACAAGGGGGTGCAAGTTCGAGGGGGGTACAAGTTGAGGGGTAAATTGTTGGGGGGTGCAACTTGGTGGAGAGTGTAAGTGGAGGGGTAAATTGTTGTTTGGATGAAAAAATAGGGGGGTGCAAATAGAGTAAAAAGTAAGTAATTATATTATTATAAAATAGATTTATCAATTTATAAAATATTATCACAAACATGAAAATTCAATATATAATAATAAAAATAATAAATAAAAATAATTTTAATAAAAATAATTATTATATAATAATGCTCAAATATAATTATTTATAACAACAATAATAATCATTGGTCGAGCAACCTCGAAACTTGAAATCCAACTCGTAACTGGTCATCCTAAGGGGGTTCTCGTGCCTAACTTTAAATTGAATATGGTCAAACTTAGTCAAACACGTTCGAATCTGTAAGTTTTAACTACTTATTAAAGTAAATCGAGTTAACTAAACTGTTCCTCTCTATCTTTTCAACAAATGCTTCTTATCTCTAATTTTCAATGCAAATTCGGGTCAACTAAGAGATATCGATTTGACGAGGTGAACATTGACAAACTTGCTCTCTGAGTCAAACGGTCAACCCCAAACAACTTCTACACTAATATAGATATAAGAAAAATTAATAATATTAATTATTATGTAATTATAGTCTAATTAAAAATTCATAATTCCCCTCCTCCCCCTTCCCCCTCCCTTCCTTCCTTCCCTTGCACCCCAATTTGGGGGGTAAGCCGAAACAGTGAATTTACGCTCACGTTTTGCACCCCCCTACTGTTACAAAATAACCAAACGGGGGTAAACACCTTGGAACTTGTGTTTACCCCTCCAAACTTGCACCCCCTTCCATTTACACCCCTTCCCAAACATAGTGATAAAGACTGTTGGTTAGGCATTCCATCCACAGTAGTGTCTGCGAGAGTGAAAACTGAAAAGGAAAGGTGCCGTAGGAGGAGAAGGAAAATATTGTTTATGGCAAGTGAAGTGAGTGACAGTAGAAGATTGGACGGTGGTGGTGGGATCTCCACTGTCAATCGTTTCACGTCTCGTCTGATGTCGTTTCAGGATCAGCATCTGAATTGTATTGTATGTATCCCATCACCTCCATCGGTCTGTGCCAAGTTTCTCCAGATATGGAGATTGACAGCCCATTTCCCTTTTTCCCTCTTAAGGAAATAACGTGAATTAACACCCGACTTCAAGAATATCCCAAATCCCAATCAATATTTTTGACTCGCATTTATATTCTGTATGGGCTGAAAAAAGAAAGATCGATGCATAATATGACAGGTTGTATACTATCAATGTGTAGCAAATACAAATTGAAGTTTTCTGGTTACATTGTTTGTAAAAGCGATAAAAGAAAATGAGGAAGATTTGAGAACCAAGTATTAATATTACAGTACTTGAGAGATATGAATGACTAAAGTGTTAAATTGAGTGCGTCTAGAATACAAATGCAACACATATTCAGGTGAGTTTGGTACGGAATTACTAAATCTTGGTTACACCCATAACCTTTCTTGTCGGGTTCGGGAAAAAACCACACAAAAATAATATCGACTGAATTTTCCCCTAATTCGGATTCGGTTGGGTATACAGATTCATAGTTTTTTCATAGTTCAAGAAAGCGCGCCTAGGCTTGATTAATCGGATTACGCGCAAATCAGAAACCAAACGCTTGCCTTACGTCTAACGCCTTTTTTAACCTTGGTTATTTTGTCCTCCTACTTCCCAGTGAGTTGGGTATTGTACTCGTACTTGGCAAATCCCCACTTATAAGGGAACAGAAACAGAATATCACACCATCCTTAAATCCTCCATTGTTGCCTAGTTTTTTCCAACTTCTCATGCACACACCATTGTATTGTTTATTGTTTAATGCTCCACGATGAGCTTTTTTAAACTGATCTACACCAGTCACCACACGGATGCGAAGGCAATATTAATGGCGATAATTCACACTTTTGCAGAGAGAGAGAGAGAGAGAGCGACCAGCCATAATGGTGTCATACTGTCATTAATTAATATATTAGTTAATGAATGTTGTCTGTGTGAGCAATGAAATGAATTGACAGATTTTGTTTAGATGAGAGATTGAATTGAATGAATGGGAAACATTGCCAGTGGTGGTGTTTATGGGAGAATCTGACATTTTTAAACAAGAAAACAACACACATAATGATGATTTTCATCAATGTCAAAACCTAAATTATTAGAGACAGGTGCTGCAGGGGTGTGGGTGCCTCTCTGTTTCTCTTCACTTCTTTTTCTATTTGGGGGTGGTGGTTTATGGGTGGAGTTTGATGGAGATTTAGCAGAGTTTCAGAAATGGTTGGGGAGATTGGAGTTTAATTAGGAGCCTACTTATTTAGGTGGGTTGGTCGTGGAATTCTCGTTAATCCAATAAATCGTTTATAGTACGATCGACATCTACCTCACGGATATTCGATTTATATACAATTTCAAGATCATTTCTCACTTACTTATAGAGGATTTGAATTGGAGTAAATTATCTCAGGTCACCAAAATCATTATTCTTTGTTTGTAATAAAGCTTATGTCGTCCTTTTTATGTTTGTGAGATTTCAAAAAGTTCATTTTGTTTTTTTATGTTTGATAAGTAATTATAATTTTAGTCCTCTCATCAGTCAAAACTAATGCTCGATCTTTGATTCGATTATTTAATTTACTTGTTATTTAAGTTAGATCCGCCAATTTCTAACTCGGCTCATCCAAGCTGTTTTGAAATGGAAATAGACTAGCTTTTACCCGACCCGTTGGTCGGTTAAATTTTGTATTATATTTTTTTGTTTTGTATTAACTAATTTGCATATTTTCAAAAAATTTACAGTCTTTTAAATAGTTTATTCATAAAGGGAAAATAATATTTGTGTTACTTTTGAATTTTATATTAGTAAGTAATTAGTTCTGGTGATGTGGCCATCCTAGGTTACTGGTATCTATATTTTTTTATATTTTAGAAGAAAATTTTATACTTTTTTACATTCAATATAAATTGCTTAAATTGTTTTTCTTTATAAGATTTGTTATTATCGATGTACGGATCTATACCTCTTGAATTCCAAAAAAAAACATGTAAAATTTCTAAAGTGAATATAAAAAAGAACAAAATGCTACCGGTTATATTTCATATTCGCTACCACACACGGTGAAAGAACCTGGAAAACAAAAGTCACTGTAGGTCAATTTAATTTTGTTATTAGGCAATTTATCAGTGAAAAGAGAATGAGGCCCGACAATAAAAACTATAGGTTAGCACAATTGTTTGAGCCCAAATTAGATGAATAAAGCAGACAACTCTGAGTTCTCAAAGAGAGCTTTCACAAATATCTAAGGCTAGCAGTTTCAGTAATAGAAAATATATGTGCACATCAAAACTCATCGCAACTTTCAGTTCCAGCCCTAGCCCGCCAAAATATTGATATTTCTTTCTCCTTCTTTTGCTGCAGCATTTCAATTCACATTCTAAAAATAGAAACATCAAATCAA